AAGGACAAGTCTCTTCTTTGTAAAGCTCAGAAAATGAGAATTGAGTAAATTGATATTGTGAAAAGATTACTTTTGGGGTGGATTATCTTGCAGACTCTGAGAGAGGATATAATCTCTCACCCTTTATTTTATTTTTTATTATAATTATTTTTTTCTCTTTGCATCAGTTAGTATCAGAGCTTTGAGATCCCTGATCTAGTTATGGAGAGTTTAGATTAACGATTTGATAGACTCAAAGAAGACCTAGTAGAGTATATTAACGAAGCAGTAGAACAATGTCTACTAAATCTATTTCATAGATTGTAATCGGAACAAGAGGAAGAAGAATATGAAGATACAAAAGATGACGTCGATAATCCCAATGTGCAATAAATTTTGAAAATCAATTATGAGGAAGAAAATGTTTGTAATGCAGTATTAGTAATCCAATCAAGAGAATCTGAAGGAGAAATCAAGATTGAGCTCGACATCTCTGTGTTGAATTGGCTTAATAAAGAAATTGAAGAAAAAATGCCGAGGTGCGTGGTGGGACTACACCACCAACTTTTGAGAAGGCCTCTAAAATATTTGAGTTCTATAAGCTCTAGGGTGAGCTTCTCTCAACCCTGAGAGAATGATGCAAATAAAATTGGGATTGTTTTAATTTTTTATTTTATGATTATTATTATTATTTCTTTAAAAAAGAAAGAGAGATATGATAAGTTAAAGTGGGGGGAGGAAAATTTTGCTACGTGAGTAGTTAAGAGAAGTTGGATGATTAGATAGGAATTAATCTTGGTAGAAGATTTAGTTAGATTTAAATAGAGATGGATTTAGATAGGAGAAAGATAAGGGATTTAGATATGGAGAAGATCAACCATGATAAAGATTGAGAAATAGGGATGGTAGGTGGGAGAGAGGTGAGAGAGAAATACGAATGGAACTTGGGAGAGAGAAAATATGGAGAGAGTGCATATGGAGGAGTGATAAAATAGGGAAAAGTACGTAGAAGAGAGAGAGAGTTATCTTTGTTGTTTTTTTCTTCTAAAGTTTATTTAAAAGGAGATGTCCATTCTATGTAAAGATCAAATAATGATCCGAGAATGGGAATTAAGTAAATTGATCTTTTGAAATGATCGTTGTTGGGTTGGATTCTCTTGCAGAATCTAAGAGACGGTATATTCTCTCATTGGGGGTAGATTCATTTACAGAATCTAAGAGAGGGTATAATCTCTCACCTTTATTTTATTTTTTATTATACTTATTTTTTTCTCCCTACATCACGCAGCCACCTTAGTATTTGGGTGAGTCACGTATCAAAGACATCCGGGTAAACAAATTGTAGGGGCCTATCTCTAGGCGAGTTATGTTGCCAAAAGGATACTTGGTTGCCACTACCTAGACACCACTGTAAATACCGCTCAAGCAAAGGCTTGCAAAGGAAGATAAGCTTCCAAAAAATAGATCTATTCACATTATCTCTGCCACTTACTAAGCACATACATGTTTTTGAAGACCATATTTAGCCAATAAAACTTGATACCATGGCTGGTATTTAAAATGAAAAGTCCTCCACCACCACTTATAAAGAAGGTCCTGATTGGCAAGCCTGATATTTCTAATCCCCATACCTCCCTTCACTCTTGGGAGTACAAACCGTATCCCACCTCAAGATATGAACTTTCTAGCTTCCTCGTAAGAGCCCTACAATAAGTTCTGCATCATCCTCCTAATTTTTTAGCAATTAACTTGGCATTTGAATTAGAGACATCTAATACATAGGGAGAATTGCCAAACACGATCTTAACATAGTAACTCTCGTGACGAAAGACAAGTATTTAGGATTCCAAAGATCCAGTTGAAACAGTACTATTTCCACCTGTTTATCCCACACTGCACCGGTTAATCTAATATTTTTTGATTGACATACACCTCATAGAGTCTGCTAAGTCATTCACAAGATACTCATTACAATTGTTATCAATCAGTGAAGTTTTCTCAAAATTAACTTGAAGCCCCAACGCTACTTCACAACATTTTAGGAACTTAATAATATTTCAAACATGAAACAGATCAGCCTCATAGAAAATACATGTGTCATTTACATATTGAAGGTGAGATACACACGGCTCTCCAATAGCAACTTTGAAGCCTAAGAATTACCCCCACTTCCACATTTCGAACCAAAAGACTAAATCATTCGGCATATAGGGTAAATAGAAAAGGCGATAGAGGAACACCTTGACGTAAACCCCTTACGGCTTTGAAAAATCCTTTAAGGCTATCATTGATCATAATGAAAAAATTGGCTAAAGAAAATCATCCAAAAATCCAATTTCTCCTTTTGTCTCATAAACCCGTTATTCACCATATTCTACTCTGTCATAGGCTCTCTCCATATCCAATTTAATGACCACCCTTGACATTTAGCTCAAAATTTTGGAATGGATACATTCATGAGCCACAAAAACGCTATTTGTAATTAAACGATCTTGCAAAAACACATATTGAGGACCATATATAATCATTGGCAGCTCCACCTTTAGCCTTTCGACTAAAATATTAACCACAATTTTATAGAGCCTAGTGAGAAGGCTAATGTGTGTGATATCTAATATACCAACTACAACTGATTTATTGAGTATTAAAGCGATATCCATGGAATTTACTCTATTAAAGAGTTCTCCTTAAAACAAAAAGCCTCTAACCATTTGCAACAGCTCTGCATTAATCATGCTCCAATACTTCTGAAAAAAGTACAATAGCAAACCATCAGGTCCAGGTGCCTTATCACCTGAAAGCGAGAATACGAAATTCTTTAGTTCCTCCAATGTGACATCAATTTCCACTTGGTGTACTATCTCAGGCGATAAAACTTTTAATGGTACACAATCCATCCTAGGAGCGAACCTAACTTCATAAGTCAAAGCCTTATTGAAATGATTTACAAGATAATTTTCTATAATCTTCAGCTACACCTTAGATAACAAAACCCACGATGTCATTAGTCTATTCAATGACACTCTTTTAACCACCCCATTTTGAAATTTAAGAGATAAGAATGATTGTGACTTTCATGTACAAAAAATAAATAATCTCTTTGTAGACAATCTCTTTATATATAACCTTGACTTCTTCATTCCATGTAGCTAATGTAAGACTTAAATCCTCCACTACTCTATCTAGTAGCAAGTAGCCGTTAAAAAAGTGACTTTTTCTACAAAGCTTTGTTTTGTTGTAATATGTTTTAAACCGCATGATTTTGAAAATATCGGGAAAAACACACATTATTTTGGTGAAAATGTTAAAAGCGCATTTTAATGAATTTTTCTAAAATAATGGTTAAAAAAACTTTCCATATATTGCATCCAAATTCAATTTTTTTGAAAATTTGTATACATTTATCCCTTTTATTTTGAATGTTTTTGGATAAAAACATTCTAAAAAAGTTGGAAATCCGATTCAAATTTTTATCTTTATCTTCAATTCCAAAATTTTGGAATGTGCTTTCTTTATGCCTTCGATTTTGTTATTAAGTGCACTTAAAGGAGAATTATATTTCCCAAGATGGTGAAATAAGGTTGCATGGGAATTTGAAATTGATGGGTTTCTCTGTTAAATCATGGTACGTGTTACTATGTAATGACAGGATGAGGTGGGCATATTCGAGAAAAAAGAAAGGTTTGCAAGTGACCTGTTCCTCGTAAAGTGGGGGCATTCTTGGGAGTTGAGTTGGAACAGTCTGATTGAATGCTACACCAATCAATCTCTACTGCCTAATACTAATCGCACGGAGGGTGCTCCCTAGGGGCATGGTGAAATACGCCCCAAAGACATGATATATTTTTTTCTTGATAAGAAATGAAATGACAACATGAAATAGCAAAATGTAATAGAAATGGTCAAATTTTTCAGACCGGTTCATGTAATAAGGGGCTGCATAGGGAAATGGGTTTCAAAATTACTATTCACTCTCTCTTCTTTTTTTCTTATATATCAACAAGCATAAATATCGGAAAAGATGGTATTAGCTCAATAGCTAAAATATATGAGCCCAACGTCCCAAATTGAATCTGAACCAATTTAACAATCACAAATGTCCAGTAATGTTTGAATTTTAATTTGTTTTATAAAAATCCAAATTACTTGAAATTTTATACGTGTGTTTATAAAAAAGAGATGAATCCTCTAAAAATATCAAAAAAATATTTTACATGAAATAAATTAACTAAAATACCCTTAAAAAGTTTAGAGAGGTATTTTGATCATTTTTTATTTCACAAATATTTTTTTTTATATTTTTATTAAATACACTTTGATGAGAAGAACACACACTTAAAATTTCAAATAATTTGGATATGTAGACAAATAAAATAAAATTCAAGCATTATCGAACATAAGTGATCGTCAATTCGACCCAGATTCAATCTGAACCGTTAAACTCATATGTTCATATGAACTAGTGGGCTAATCCCATATTTGCCCCATAAATACATGACAAGGATATTATGCTGTTAAAGATGAAAGTGCAAGACGCCAAATTTGTTACCTTCAATGAAAAATAAAAGCAGCCAACTTTCTCCTAGATCATAAACAGTTTGGTTTCAAGGACAAACATGTAAGTTACATTGTACCCCGTCAATAGTCCGTACAACAAATGTGCATATTGTTGAAATTTTCAGCATACATCATCACATTGTCAAGGTATTTCAATAATCATGGCTAATTTTTTTCTTTGTACAGATCTCTCATATTAGACATACCAGCAAATCCATTGAGGCAGATAATACAGTCAATGCCTGTTAACATGGTTGATTCAGTTTATATAAATTTCTGGTCAGTGAGAAAGCATATATAGAAAATCATAGGCATTGATATCAGGCCAACAAAATAATTAAGCCTTCATCTGCTAGATATGCAAGGACCAATTTCTTTTAAGCCTTGCATTCCGAAAGCATGATGGGATGTGCAGAGTTGGACCTTTAACCTTAAGTAAGAGATAAAAATAAAAATTTGGCATGGAAATTCAAAGAAAATGGATGCATACATCTCTTGTATTGTTGGGTTTTTGACAAACATCTGAGTGATGACACTTTCACAATGCTAATACATTAGTAAACTTATATCCAAAACAGAAAAAATAACTCAACAGAAAATTGCCAAGATATATTTTGCAAAGAAAATTTGAGCGATTAGTTAATCAGACGACATCCTCCGATAAACTACAATATTATCAATGAATCAGCCTGTTATAACACCCGCGAGAACATCGCTTTTACCACGTGCAAAGATGGTGTACACCAGACGAATTGCATCTAGCCACCCATCCATGGATTCCCACGTATCAGCAACCTGAAACCGCATATTTGAGAGGATAAATTTCAGAACACAGGAATATGAGAACACTATGAAGAATATTTTATGATGACGAGGGCCAATACTATAGTGATAGTCCCTCCCTCAAATCCACCAGATTGGTTGGGAGACCGAAAATCAGTCTCCTTCAGAATAACCAAAAACTTTTGATTTAAACCTCAATATGCTCCAAATCAAAAAGACCCAATTTGGATCATCCATTTGATGGACGGTGCTGGGATATGGAGCTCTTTCGAAGTTCCAAGTCCTTGTTCATTTTAGATATCTCCAACTCTGTTTTTAGTTGAATGAGATTGATTTGAACACTATTTGGAGCCTTTGTGGGTCCATCACAATTGCTACAGAAATGGCCAGACGTTTATTGGACTAAACACACACACACACAACAAAAGAGGGAGAGAGAGAGAGAGAGTTAGCTAACAAGCTAATCGCGATCCAAATTGGACATGATTGTCCAATTGTGTTTGAATTTTTGTTTATTTTTTACGTATCAAATTGCCATAAAACTTTGGGGATACATTTGCCTCAATTAGATGCACCTAAAGAAAATAATTCAAACAATAAATATAACCAAAATACCCCATGAATGTTGCCAAGCTTTTTTGGCCAATTTATTTTTTGGTAATAACTCTATATTTTATTTGGGTGTGCCGAAGTGAGATCTGCATGCGCTCAAAATTTTGAGTCAAGTTGATTCGGTAGATCTATGAGATGACTATAGTGGTCGTCTGATGGAATTTAAACAGTGATAAGTCTGAGTAAATGCGATAGAAATTCACTCATGGGCAACTTTTAAGTTTTGCTCTCCCTCCCTCCCTCTCGATATATATATATATATATAGGGAAAAGATTGGAACAACCCACCAGCTGATGGCTATATCAATAGCCGAGATTGAATCTAGGCTAATCCAATGGTCACAATTGCATTTCATGTTCAAATTTTAGTTTTTTCTTACAAATCCAAGTCACTTGAAATTTAGCGTCTATTCTTTAAAAATAGGGGAATGCAATAAAATATTTAAAGAATAATTCCCAAAAAAATGATCAAAGTACCTCTGAAACTTTTAGGGGTATTTTGGTCCATTTATTTTTTAGGAATTATTCTTTTAATATTTTTATTAGATGTGCCTTGATGAAAAGAATAGACGGCTAAAATTTCATGTGATTTAAATTTATAAAAATAAATAAATTATATTACGAAATACAGTCGTGACCGTCAGATCGGCCCAGATTCAATTTGGAGAATTGGACTTACACTATAGTTGTTGGCTAGAGCACTATTCCCAGCTGCACGCCCATACGCGAATGGCCCAGATTGAATCTGGTTCATTCTGTGGCCGATCTGATGCTCACAGATGTCCGATAGTGTTTGAATTTAAATTTTCTTCTACAAATCCAAATAAAATTTTAAGCCTGTGTTCTTCTCATCAAAGTGCACTTAATAAAAATATAAAAAAATAATAATTCGTAAAAAAAAATTCGGGGGTATTTTGGTCAATTTATTTCATGTAAATTCTTTTGTATATATTTTTTGTAGATTCGCTTATTTTTGAAGAACACAAGCCTAAAATTTCAAGTGATTTGAATTTGTAGTAAAAAAATTAAAATTCAAACACTATCGAACATCCGCGATAGTTAAATCTGCTCAGATTCTATCTGGGCCGTGGGTGTTTACTGTAGCAGTAGGCACCTGAGAGCACAACATCTTTTCCTTATATATATATATATATATATATATAGGGACGACGTTTGGTCTTTCTCTTTTAGAATATTTCTTTTTTATTTTTTTAGGTGCACCTAGGTGAAGGTCACAAGTCCCCAGAATTTCAGGTCAATCAAATTTACAAAAATAAAATTGAAAATGAAACAGTTCCATGGACTCTGGTCATCGGATCTGTTAAAGTTTCACCTGAGCCTCTGGCCTATACTATTCCGCAGGCCCAGCCGCTCACAATCCCTTTTCCCTATGATGACTTCAAAAACTCAAGGAACCCTTGCTTCCATTTGTTCACAATTATCAAGAAGTTTCTAGTACCAGGCTAATGGATGTGCAATACATATGAAAACAAATGACGCACAACTCAAAGAGTACTACCGGATTATGAAAGCCAAACTCACTCTCCTTGTTCTTTTCTCGAGGAAAAAAGAAAAAAGCGGATGTTCAAGACTGACAGGAGTAAAAGAGAATATTTACCATGTATAATGGCCCACGTATTGTATCAATACAAAGGCCCGCGCCTGGAGGTAATGTAAGATCTGCACATGCTGATATTGATGTAATATCAAGAATATCAACTTTGATGAGAGGTTTTTCAATATGTGTGGTGCTTGCTAACATGGCTGAAGGACTCTGTGTGGATTGCTTTGGCTCACCCCTGCTTACCTGCAAATGGTAGTCTTTTTTATTATCCACACGTATTATCAAATAATTAATACATATAGAGAAGTACATGGCAGTCACTAAAAGACTCTAGGGTCTCACATTTCTTTTCTCTGACAATCTTAATATATCCTTCCTATCTTTTACATAATCCTCACATTGGATATGTTCCTTAAAGCCATTATTGACTACCAAATGTTTCATATGCAAACCCCCCCTTCTTGAGTTCCATCATCCTGGTTTAGTCTGATACCTGGGTGCGAGTAAAGAGGGGACAGTGGGAAAATATATCCTACATATAAGAGCTTTTAAATAATTTGCATTAGAGTTGTTAAATAATTTGCATTAGCTTAGATGGGATTTGGTATATCTGTAAGAGAAATGATCCTATAGGACCCTCCCCCACCCATGTGTGTAGAACCCCAAAAGATCACCATTAAATTTGGCACGGATCTATAGAAAAATCAAGTCCCACACCCATATGATAACTTTTCTAGAGATCTGTGCCAACTTTAATGGTGATCCTTTGGGGTCCTACACACATGAGTAGGGGAAGGTCCTATTGGATCATTACTCTATCTGTAATTACCATCTAGGCACACATTAATCTTTTGAAATCATTCCACACTCTTAAGTTTTGAGAATCACATCCTATATATGCTTCAAAATCAAGTATTGCTTCAGCACATTCACATAAATAGAATAGTAGTATTTCTGGGCAACTTTTAGTAATACATATATTTAAAGAAAAATTGTTTCAAGCGGAAAACTAACGGTCCAATTGTTTTATTACTAGACTTATTATTTTTAATTTTTAAAATTTATTTATTTTTTCATATTCATGATCTTTCTGTTAGAGGTTACATGTCCTTAAAAATTAAGTCTTAAAATCCATCTCAAAAATAGATTTATTAAGAAGCCTGCATTTCTACATATGCGGCGGGCTTGGCCACATAGAAACCGGGTCCTATATTTAAATGGCAATATATTGGAATCTAAAGGACTCAACAATGAAGAAATGGGACTATGGGGACCTTCTCTTTTAACAATTTTGGCAATGTGAATGAAGTCGAAGTCAATCTATAATCTTCAACACCAGCTTTGAATCCAATACTAGCTTTAGTTTCTGTTTTTGGGGACATAAGTCCCTCCCTACAACTCATGAAGTAAGAATTCTCACAAGGACAGGGTCTACTCGAAAGCAAAAGAACAAAAGAAGAAACATAGTAGCATGCAATGCAAATTCAAACACCATCAATTAAGCTGCCCAAGCAATTACAGAATAGAAGTCCAAAAAGGGCATTGAAAATAGACAACAGAAAACACTTGCTCAACATCAGATATTTCTCACCAAATATTAGAAATTGCTGTACATCGAACTACTTGTTCCTTTTTAATTGGTGCCATGAAGGGTGAATAAAAACAAAAGCGGAACTGATTTATAGAGAGTCAAATGACAGAAATAAATACAATAGTGTATATGGAAAATTTGTAGTTACATACACGCTCTGGCTTGACAAGTGAAGTAAAATGACATGCAGGATAAAGGCTCAATCATAAATAGAGACTATGTAGCTTTCATTGAACGAAAAAAGATTGGATGCAAACTTGCTGTTCACATGACATGATTGTGTATGGGTATGTAGTATGGACTGCTTGAAAACAACTAAATGGTCAAAATAACATTCCCCCTTCACTCAATGCATATCATCCATCTTACGGGAGTAGGACTACAATAAGTAATTTAGAGAGAGCAGGGGCTTCCAATGCGACAGAAAGTTTTACCTGTTGAAGGCATTCATGGTTCAAAACAAATTGGGATCTCTTCCAATCATTATGGGGGGCAACTGGGTTCCCTGTAGGTGGTGCGGTCAAATATCCCACCTTTAAGTAAGGCAAAGGAAGCTGCCAAACAGTTAACTGCATCAATGAAGCAACAAAGACAGGCATAACTTGACAAAAAACTAAAATAGATTATCTATGCAAATTCTCACAATTTTGTTCTGGAAATATAAACTATTTCATCCCTTCATCTAGGTGATGCATTTCAACAATAAATCCCATAACATGCCTCACTGGCTTGATCAGTATGTAGCAATGCAAAAACTCCGGAATATTCTGAACTTAGCTTGAGTAGAAATCAAGAATGTGCGAGGTGCAGAATTAGGTAAGAAAAAGCTGAGCATGCATTTAATAGGAAGTCCTTGAGAATTTCCAAGAGAGGTAACTAATCGGGAAAATAGAATTTCCAAGAGAGATTCCTCATATAGAAAGATACAAGCGAATGGGATACAGAAATGGGCATCTTTTTGTGTCCAGATGAACGACATATTGGGTAGCAAGAAACTAAGGTAACTAAATACTGTAAAGATGAAAAGGTCATAAAAGAGATTAAACATTACAACATAGATGCAGTATTTTCTTCTTTTTGTCGGTATAATTTCATGAAACTATAATGAGACAAATAAGATACAAGACAAATGATTCTTGATCTCAATAGTAGAATTTCAACAATGAGAACAAAGAACCACATGTGTATAGCAGTCAATATTTCCCACATCTATTTTATGTGGTTTGCAGCCAGTAGTATAACACCTAAAAGTCCCAGGACATTGTGGAACCTGGTATTTCAGGAAATGAAAAACTCTAAAATCTCAAGAACGAAGGTGAATTTTAAGACACACAGATAAAGCTCCTCTTTCAGTCAGTATAAACAAAACTATGACTAAAGTACATGATACTAAAACCCCGTGGCATGTCTATTTGCCAAATGTGGATAACTTCTATGCATGATTATTAAGCATTATTAATAGCATCTGGGGATTACACCTAGAGCTCTATCCTTTTTTTTATTGTACATCTACAGCTCTTTCAGTAGCTTGATTCATATGTTGCTATTGATTCCAATATCAATGTATTAAAACAATGCAAAATCACGAAAATAAAGATTAATTATGCAGGAAAACCAATGGAAGGTCTTGCATAAGAATAACCATATTTTAAGAATAACCAACAGCTTGCTCTACATTGGGTCAAGTCACTGACCATCGAACGAACAAGCCTCAAGGCACTGCGGTAAACCTACATGACAAAGAGTTCATCTAAAGTTAGCTTGCGCTATCAGAAGAGAGCAAGATAATAGTATATTGGTAAGAAGTATGTTTTGAAACTGTTTGATTAAGCTGCAGAATAATATGCATACCAGTGAAGCTCTTAGGCATTTAAATGTCTGAAATTCATGTGTTACTAAAGTTGAGGCTAAAATGCAGATAAAAGAAGTTGAGGCAGAAATCTCAAACTAAAGTAATAAGAAGCTAAAATGTCTTAAAATGAGTTCACCACTCACGGGGCTTTAAGTATCAGAAATTCCAGAACAATTCTACCGGAGGATGAATTACTTTTGTATTTGCATTTATGTACAACAGAAATCCTTAAAATCTTAAGAATGCAAAAACCAGAGGAAAATAAAATCACAAACGAAAATGGATATACTGAAATCCTTCCATTACATGGATGTCATCTACATGAACCACATAATTACATAAAGATCTGCATTAGATAGAAGTGAAGCGGACCAAGGTGTGGCTCATACAGTGAGGGGAATGCTTACACTTAATTAAGTCCAAAAACACAAATAATAAGCTAAGTGAATTCTACACAGAGAGTTCACGTGTGACATACCCTTTCGAATAAATTGATCCACCAAGTTACCATCAACAATAACATACCCTTTCGAATAAATTGATCATTTCCGATCAATATTCTATGACTTCAAACATCTCAAAAGGTGTCAGGTAGCAGGGCATTTGTCCTGAGGCAATTGGAATACATTCACACAGATCCCCACAAAAATATACAAAACTGCTGGCGAAGCTCAGAATTCGACCCATGTGAGATGTGTCACAATTGTGGGATATATGTGTTACTTGACAACAAATCAAATAATTCTACACAGTCTAAGTGTGAATGACAAAATCTAGTTAATCATAACCATTAAAGTGAAAATAAGGAAATTTAATTGTTTTATATTGCTAAATAAAATCAAGTAAATTAGATTTTGATCGCAAACATAGGTTCAGGATTCATGATAAGATGTAGCAAAGTTTTACGCTGGCTGCCTACCTAACGCAAGCTGCCTACCTAACGCATGCCACCTCCTTACCAAGCTTCGGACAGGTTAAAGGAGAAGTTTAAAGTCCTCACCCTTATTAGACCTAGTATGGATCTCCTCGTCTAATCGATGCTTACTGGATAAAGAGAGCACCATCAATCACAAAAGGTATGATAATGGGACCCACAACTGCAATTGAAGAAAGGGTATAAAAAAACACGTTTTTTAGGAAAATTTACAGTGTTGTATCTAAAGTACAAGTTTAGCTACAAGCTCTGGCCCTTATACAATTCTTCCTCCCTGTTTTTTTTTTGGGGTAAATCAGTGGGGAAGAATGCCTCCTACCCGTTTTTATTATATGATTCTTCCTATTAAGGACAATTAGCACAACCGATCCAATAGTTACAAGGTATGAATCCCTGGTTAGGTTGGGATTGTAACAAAATTTCAGGTGAAGCTCCATCCTTTGCATCTGCTGCTGCTTTGGCCTCCTCTACATGTGCTTAAAGGTAACATAAAGGTGCGTCCTGATGTCACAAATTTCATCAAAAATCGGTTCCAACCTCCATAGGGAGGGAGGAGACTTTGAGCCCAAGAGATAACATTCTTGGAATCCCCTACCACTAGCAAAAAGATAACTTCAGACGCAATCCAACAGTTCTATACCTTGTAGAAGGACCTGTGCTTTAGCAAACATGCAGCATCGCCGTAAAAAGAGATGAACATTTGGGACATGCTGCCTCAGAAGATTCCCCAACCCCTGTTGGGCCGAGGTTGCCAAGCGAGCATCAGTTGAAGTTGCGATTGACAACACTGAGCTCTGGAGGAACCCAAATGACTGGATCACATAATTGTCAACAGCTTGTTCCTAGGGATTGCGCTCCAGTTTTCTTCAGAATCTGCTGAAGCCCAACAACTAAACTCTTTATGATTCTAGGCCAAATCTCACAGTAGAGATGATAGACTACCATTCCATTCCAACCAAATGGCCCAAAACATGGCCAAAAGAGTGGCGCTCCATAGGAAAAGAACAGAGGAAGAGAAAGGGGGCCAAAAAAATCCCCCAAATGGTTGCTGGGCTGTTTGGGGCAGCAACCAAAGCTCATCAAATCATCAGAGTGTGGAGGACCAGATGGGGCCCAAGACTAAATAATAAATGAAGAGATGACTGATAGTTTCTTCTTCCCTAGACATTGCACAGTGGTTAGGCATGTGGACACCTCTCGCTGTAGCTGGTCAGTTGTGAGGACTCTCTTTGCGAGGACCAGCCACTTGAAAGCCTGGATTTTTTAGGGGAACTAGGAGAAGCAAGTTTTCGAGGCTATTACCAAAGGGTTATTTTCTGAGTTTGCATGTCTGAAAGCTAGGTAGAAAGACCTCACTGAGAAAGAACCAGGGGTGACAGGAACCCAGAACATCTTATTGTGCTCTCCATTCTCAAGATAAAGTGCATCCTTAGGAGATCCAGCAAGGAGACAAGTTTCAGAGTCTCTGAGCCCAACAGTTTCCTCCTGAAACCTGGAGTCCAAACCAATTGTCCTCCAATGACTTTGTAGGATTGGCCAATTGTGGTGTTATGGGTGGTAGCCAGTGAGAATAGTTTTGGGTAGAGGGACTGCAGGGTGTCTTTCGCAACAAAGGTCCTTCCACAACCAGATCATTGTCCTAGTTTTGCAATGAAACCAATTTTAGAGATAAATTCCACATGGGATGAAATGATCCCTTTCGAAACTCCGAAGGCAGATCCACTGGTCATTTCCCTTGGAAACCAACAGGAGCTGTCAATGCCATAACTCTGTTGGACAACTTGCTGCCACAGTTAGGGCTGGTAAAGGGCCAGGCTGTCTGGCCCTAAAAAAGTAGGGCCTGGGCCACTGGCCCGGTTCGGCCTGGCCAGCCCTCTTTTTTTATTTTTTTATTTTCTTTGTTTTTCCTTCATTTGTTTCTGGCCTGGCCTGGCCCGTTGCCACCCTTAGCCACGGGTGGCCCTCCTGGTTCGTGAAATGGCACCATGACTTTCCAGGGTGCACAGTGTTGCACAAGTTTTCTGATACCCAACTCCCCACTCCTTCTCAATCGACAAACTATAACCCACTTAACGAAAGGAAACTTTGGTTTAGCACCTGCATGGAACCACAAGAAACCACTTCTCAGTTTTGCTCAAAGAGCTTGACAACAACAGAAAGCATTTTCAAAGGACATGCAATAGACAGGAATATCAAATAGTGTGGCTATGTCAAACTGATTCTGCCTCCTAGATACAAAAATATGCATTTTCAGGCATTAAGATGGCATTCGAAGTGTTCAACTATGGAGTCCCATTGGGCCTTTCGCAACCTGCCAATGCAGAACGGACGACCCAAATACATTATAAGTGTTGGTTAGATCACTCTCAACCTTTGGCCCAACACTGAGACTGTTCCAGCATAGAGACTGACTGCAAATAATTTAGTTCTTGCCGTATTGACCTCGAGCCCTGTTGACACTTCGAAGCATCTAGACAACCACAAATTGTCAATTCGTCCATTTGTCCAGCTTGGCATTGCAGAAGACCAGGGTTTCTTTGCATACTTTAAATGGGAGATATGAGGTCCCTTCAGGACAACTTTAAGCTTGGGACAGATTGCCAAACAGGTTTGAGATCAATTTGCTAAAGACATCAGCCATGATTTCTAAAAAGAAAGGCGACGGGAATCTCATTAGCAGAGACCTCCCGTAGCGCAAAGAAACCATTAGGGGATCCATTTATTAATACCGATAACCATGGCAATGAGATAAACCCCTTGATCTAGATCCTCCATCTCGTTCTGAAACCCATAATGTGCAAAACTTGATCAAGGATGTCCCTATTGACATGGTCATAATTGTTTTCCAAGTCCAGTTCCAGGACAGGACCTGGGATCGTGGAATGGTGTCTAGTGTGGATACAATCATGTGCTCCCAACACTGTATCTAAAATTTGTCGGTCTTGGACGAAGGTCCCTGAGTGGGGAGAAATGATGTGTGTTAGCACTTGCAGGCAGGAGGCAAACACTTTGGACAGGATTTTGTAAGAACAGGCTTATAACCTTAAAACTGTTCAGTTTCTCAGCACCTTCAAGCTTCGGTACCAAAACTACAAATGTGGCATTCGGCCCTCTATTAGTGATGCCCATTTGTAAAATTTATGCAAGAAGAGCAAGGATATCAAGGGAAAGAGTGACCCATAATTTTTTAAATATGGAGATGGGGTAGCCACCTGGGCTTGGGGCCTTGTGTTGTTAGAGGTCCATCACAGCCCTACGGATCTCGTCTTCCATAAATGGTCTCTCTACCTACTATGTGCTTTGTCTAGGTAGGGATTGGAAAGGGTGGTTGGCAACTTATGTTTAGCCTGAATATGGGCAGAGAGGAGATTGAATCCATCTAGTAATATGACCCTATGGATAACATACAACTCTTTATAAATCTTCTTTTCCTTTTTGATTTGATGGATAAAGTTGACCCTTTTTTGTAAGCACAATGATTCTTATTTGTAGGAATCAGTATCCTATCGTGTTGGAATCGAGTCTCCTACCTTTCAGGAATCGCACATGACCCCATACAACGACTTCTAGAATCGCAAACTGAGGTAATAGGAAGCGTGATTCCTACATTACTGGAATCATTATCCCCATCAATTGGGAATCGAGATTCCCACAGTTCAAGAATTGTGCACCTATCCACTCCAATATAGGAGAAAAGTATTTTGCGAGAAAAGATTTAAAGTTTTACATAAATGATGGGGTATAGACATACTATGTTTAGCCCAAGTTATCTATGTAAAACCAAGCAGATACTATAGATAATACCTTGGTATTTGCTTGAAAGGCCAAGATGTTGCATTTTCCTCAAAATCCAAATACTGTAAGTGGCCATGAATTTTGATCACCGTTAACCCATATCCTTTTTTTTTCTTTTGGGGGTTTAAGTCCATGCCCCACCAAATACACAACGAGACAATGAGTGATAAGCATTTTACTTAGTATCGTAGATGATCATTAATAAGAATTTTATTAATCACCCACCAAACATGCCCCACATAATCATTTACTTGGCATAGTATATGATCAATGATAAGCATTTGGTTATTGCAACATCATATATAAACATCTTACCTTGAGGTAGGGCTGCCACCCAAACGCCTTACCATGAGGTGCGACTGCCACCCACTTTGTGATTTATAGATTGATAAATCTTTTGGGTAATATGACAGAGATTATTGTATATGGATTCATCTCGAAAGTTTATTAAGGCTTTTTGGCTCTCACAACATCACAGTCTTAAAACCTAAATCATGGGTATTTAACCTTGTACAAAAGTAACATGATCCAAAAAGGTTCCTAGAACTTCTCCAATAATATAGAATCGGCTCCTGGAGCTCCTCCCTCAACATACAATTTTTTAATATATTTCATTCAACATTTGCATTTGAATCTTGATTCCGTGTCATTAGAACATGATTGTTCAGAGCATCTAAGAATTGTGCCTTTTGATGATGTGGAACTCGCTTCAAAACAACAGGGATTCACGATTCTTAAAAAATTGGAATCAACGTTTTGCACACATTGAATCGCATTATTGTGCAACTATGAACCGCAGATTTTGTGATATGGAACCTAGACAACCTTTCAAGAATCGAGATTCAGATATTAATCTGGAATGCATTCCATGAAACTAAGAAACGTGATTCCTATCTTCCAGATTCGTGTTTCATCTTGGGAACTGCAGAATCGTGATCTTGGTACGCAATTCGCGTAACTATATACAAACCACAACCATATTTAGATGAATCACATCTGGAAAATGTTCACCTGCTGAGGTGGCCATATGATGCTCTTGGCACTATGAATGAAACATCTTCCGAAAGACTAATGAATGAATTGCACCTGGTCAGATATCATGAGCAGTTAAAAAGAATCTATACATAATACCCCAACCAATATTTCTATATCAAGATTCAGAACAAGTCATCTGAAATCACAGAACGTCTGTAAAATAAATTATCTTGTCAATTTCATGGTTTTTTAAATGTGGAATCTACCGTTTAACAAAGTAACTTGGAGGAGCTCGCATAAATGAACTTGATTTGCAAAAAGAGTTGGGTTAAGATGAAACTCAAGGAAAAATATAGAAAAAGGTCCATTTGAATTACTGTCCCTAAAATCCACATTAAAAAGTTATCAATTGTAAAGAAAAAACATTTACCGAGTAATTGGACTTCAAGGCATGGGCAGCTGCAATGTATATTGCAGATTGACTATAAAGCTCATTAGGGGAGATCTCTTTGGCATCAAACTGTCTCCCAGTTCTTAAGGTATCCTCTGCCAAACCATACTGTAGAATAGATCAAAACTCAACCATGGACATTCAATATATAATACACCTTAGTTAAGTTGCACGCTTCTCATCTTATATTGGACCAGTTAACTCACCAAAACAGTGCCAAGGTTGTATATTGCCCTATGGAAATCAAACTGTAACTGAATCGCTGCACGGAACTGCAAAGTAAATAAAAATGATTGAATATAAAAAGCAACAACTCAATAAGCAGAATAACAGGGGGCGCTGCTTTTCATTAATGCGAAGAGGAAAAATTGAGGCTCAAGTACTTCTAAGCTGAGTTAGCAAAAGTGTTTAGGGAATATAAATGAGAATGGGAGGATGGCAGAGAAGAATGCACTTTCTTTCCTCTTATATTTTTTCTGATGGTGAAGGTAGTAGCTGTTCTAAAACAAAATCCCCTCAGAAACGCCAGTTCTGGGATATGAAACCTTGGGGTCATGGTCAGTAAGCTATAAGACTACCAAGATTAAGAATGTAGAATCTTAATAATTTTAAAGTACAAAGACCAAATTCTAAATTTATGAGATAACAATTCAGTTTTTTTTTTCCTCATTGAAAATATTATCTAAAACTGGTTCAAATAGTAAATCTCTTGGAATTCTTTCCAAAACTTTGGTTTGGCATCATACAGCACTAGCAACATTTACTGAAATAATTACTGTACCTTATTGATAGCAGTTTGTACAATGGTTTGCTTTTCCCGGACAGAAACAATAGCACTTAGTTCCTGCATAGCACATAACAAAACTGAGAATAAGTTTATAACCACACGACTTCTCTTGTGAATCACTAATGAACATGTATGAGACTAGCAAAAGGCGTAACACAAAAGCTTTCTCCAAGGGATAAAAAGTTAGTGGGTAATTGGGGAAAAGCTGTCACATACATTTGTAGCATATTAAACACCATATACTTTTCAAAGAGCATACCTGCAGAGCAAGTCCCCAATTGTTTAGTGCCTGAAATCAATAACAAAAGAAGAGCAACAATATTATAAAAAAGTATTTATGTGTAGATGATACTGAATCACTTCAAGGACAAGCCCACCTTGTCAAAGAGAAAAGTAGCAACAATACAGGTCCCAAATTTGAAAACAAAGCAAATCAAGGATAATAACTGTAACATAGAAAGTGCTAGGTTTCCAAGTTGCATTAAAGAAAGATTCAAACAAGAGCTAAGCAGACTGTCCTCACAAAGTAGCTACAAGCCTGCAAAGATAGCTTTCATACATAAAAGTTTCACAACAAATTAATCTTCCTGGGCCATCTGAAAAGAACTAAAGAAGCACTGCTGCCAGTTTTCATGGAATCCAATACTTATAAAAAAAAAATGAATTCATAGCTGTAAGCAGAAGCAGGATCAGGAGCGTGGGATCATGATATGCCAGAAGCTCCTTATGGTCGGAATTGCTGTCCATACACCCTGAATTTTAGGGATCTCGATCCAATCATATTTGGGGTTTCAAGCACAACGTTTTGGGATTGCAGAATTAAATCTAAAGCTCTAAAATCCATATGCTAAAAGCATATATTTTTCCTTAAAAATATGTAGAACATCATTTTGTAGCAATATAACTTTATCTTTTATGATAGATATGAATTTAGCAGTTATTTCCCCATAAAAAATCAACCTACAATGGGTTTGATCTATATCGACCAATCCATAAGGGATAAGGATTGTCTTTTCCCCATATGGGAGCAGAATCTACCTAAGATCCTGCGCTGGGAGACTGGAATCACTTGGATCGACACCAAGTTGGGTGATCCCATTAACTATGCATGAAAACTGCAAACCTTTGAATTGTTTTCTGGTACTAATTCAAAACTGCACACCAGGATTAGGAGATGCCTTAGAAGAAGATCCGAAAGGGGCATGTCACAAGTAATAACTTTAAAACTGGGCAAGGTGCTTAATTCATACAAAGTTGAAACAGAAGCCGCAAGACACCATTTTTTTATTTCATGGAAAGCAAGGCACGTTCGCATGAGATATCTAGATTTTATTAAATTTAAGATGCTAATAATGTCAAATCCCTATGGATATGTTTGACAAAACAGGATTTGAATATTCAAGTTTTTAGAAATCTGAATAAAGACATTATCTGCTTTCTATACATGCAGATTGTATGTTATCTTGATCTGTCTTTTTTGGTGCACGTTTGATTGTCTGCCTGTATTTCAAAATTTTCATAGATTTCAAATTTACGACTATTTGGTTGACAATCGATTTTTTTTTATTTTATGAGACACATAATTGACTTGTAGCTAAGTTCTACTCTCTCTTGCATTAAAGATAGAACTACTTAAAAAAAATGCCTAAAATCAATAATGTGTAGAAGCACAACACAATGGGGAGAGAAATAAAGCATTTGTTTGATTATCTTCAAACAGATATCGACCCACATGTATTTCCACATTCCATTTTGTTTATTGATATTGAATCAACATATTTTTTTTTTTTTTGAAATTAACGTTTGTATAGAAGAAAAGGGAGTACAAAGGTTAGTCCAAGGAACCCACAGCCCGGGTCACTTGACAAAAAATAGACTAACCTAGGGGGTAACCCTATACAAAAATTTGGGGCTAATAGAAAACATCCATTACAGCATTGTACAGAGAAAGCCATAAGGGGCTTAAAGTAGTCGCCCATAACAAACATATACAAAAACCAGTCCTTCGGTGCCAAAATTGGTGTCATGGTCATCTATGAGTCAATCCCTGATACTCCATGAGTCTTGAGAGGAGTGCCAAGGACTCAACCAACTGAGAATCAGCGTGGCCGATATGGGCAGAGTAGGAAGCTAGAATGTGACTGAGGGAATCTCAGAAAACCCCCCCCTATACCAGATAGTCTAGGGTTCCCTAGGGAACACCTGTCAAAGTTAAGTTTGGTGTGCTTTGCTAGAGGAGGCGTACAATTGTTTGCTCTAGCTGCCCGGCATGGTGGAATAGGATGACATTTTCCCATCTATGGATGAAAGCCGTGGCCGAGATACCCTTGAAGGCTTTGTGGTTGGTAGCCTAGAAGATCACCAAGGAAGTGATTCTATAGAAGAGGGCCGGGAACTCACTTTTGGCTCCTCTAAAAATCCTCGAGTTTCTCTCTGTCCAAATTAACCATACCCACATAGTCGCCGCTATGGAAGCCCTCCATAAAAGTCTGCCTGCCTTGGGCCAAGGAACGTCCACAGCAAGGTGGAGGCGGCCTGGTATAGAGGCAGGAGTTACCCAGGTCAGACCAAAGAGTCTAAGTTTACCCCATAGGCTACAGGCAAGATTGCAGTGGATGAAAAGGTGATAATTAATCTCTTCATCGCAACAGCACATAATGCAACGATTGGGGATTGGGATACCCCTTTATTGTAGCTGATTGACCATGAGGGCTCTTTGAGAACCCGCAATCCAGTTAAAAGCCTGCACCTTCGGTGGGGCACTAGAGGACCACACCTTGAAGACCACTGAAGTTGGGGAAAGAGGGTAAGTGGTCGATTGCAACAACTTATTATATAAGGAGGATACCAAGAAGACTCCCGATGGTGAGGGCATCCAAATCATTCTATCAGGCCTAGAGTGGGCCAGGAAAGTGGCATGCAATAAGGAGGCCAGCGAAGTAAATTCAAGGAATTCGGGGTCCGAAAGGGACCGTCTGAAAAGGGGGTTCCATACTCTTGGGCCCCCTGAAGTTGGGAGCTCTTTTGGGATGGAGGAGGATGGATTGGTGGGTAGAGAGAATAACAGGGGGAACCTTTCCCTCAAGGGGGGTGTGACCCAACCAAAGGTCTGATTAGAAGCGAATTCTTTGACCACCCCTCGGGTGGTACCGAATGTTTTGCTGAAATGAAGTTAGGGCTGAAATAAAGGATTTCCAAGCCCCAAAAGTTCTGGTTAGTCTTCTACCCTCCGGCAGCCAAGCATTTTGTGGGATACGGTATTTAGACCGTACCACTTGGGACCACAGAAGGTTGTTGTGATTTGCTAGATGCCACCACCATTTGCCGGGTAGTGCTGTATTCTATTTCCTCAAGGTTCTAATCCCTAGTCCCCCCAAGTGCTTAGGTTGACACACTCTCTCCCAGGAAACGAGATGAAACTTAGTAGAGTCAGACTCGCCTGATCAAAGAAAGTTCCTCATAGCACTGTGTCCCACCTTACCGCACTTATAACACTCTCTCTTATCTTTGGGCTCTCTCTCGGACTCTCTCCCTTCTTATTTTCGTTTTTCTTTTTATTAAAGTTAGCCTGGCCCTTACCCTTTTGCTTAAAACTTGGCGCATTAGGCTTAAAGTTAGCCACATGCACCGCATCATGGGGTGCGGCTGCATCACGTGCCTTTTTCCTCTCTTCCTAAGCCTTGAGAAGGACACAAAGCTCCTCTAACTTGGGAGTATTCTCTCGGGAAGAGAGAGATGATATAAACACCTCCCAAGAAGTCGGGAGAGTGTTCAAAAGGTGACAAATCTGCATGGGCTCGGGAGAGCTTCATGTTGATGGCTCCGAGTTCTCGTACTAGTCCTCAAAATGCGTGCATATGAATTGCAATTTTTGCTCCTTCAGCCATCTTTAGCTCGTGGCACTTCTTTAGAGCAAGGGTTTGCTTGACAAAAGAAGGATCAACAAACTCCTCCAACTTTTCATGTTATCGCTTTAGCGGTATTCAAACTCTCATATTTCGATACATAAGTGTCCTGCATCGAAACAAGTAATATATGCTTAGAAAGCATGTTTTTCCGCACCCATTGAGAATAATCATCTTTTAAGTGTTGCCTCTCGTATGCGTTCCATCTTGGAACTGGTGGGGGGTCTTGGGTAAACATATCATGGAGATTTTCCTGATAGAGGACATATCCCACTTTACGCTTTCAAGACACGTAATTGCCTCCATCGAATCTTTTTGATTTCAAGAATTTGGCCATGAAACTCTTTGTGGCCATGACTCAAGAATCAAAATACAACAATAATAATAAAATAAAAGGACAGCAAGAATTCCCCGCTGTCCTTTTAACTTGAAATCACATGTTAACCACCTTTCGAACTTCCTTCTTGGTTGGGAGATATGGCATTAATTTTAAAGACATGTCACAACGTTTACTATATAACAGATTTCTGATGTAATGCCTCCATTTTCTTGAACTTTTGAGGAGTTAAACGAGATCCAATTGCTTTCAAACCATCCCCATTTGAAAAACAAGTGTGACTAGTGTAAAATTGGTTTTGGAACCGTCTTTAAATTCCAAACGAATTGAAAGTTATGACCCTATTTATGATCGGATGTCACTGCCTGAAATTGCAGGAAATGTGACATTGATACCACATTATGTGATACTGATAATGTTATCATGTGATACTAATACTGCCATTCTGTGATGCTAATAATGTTATCATGTGATACTGATACCGTCACCATGTGAATATGAGGCTGGGATTCTGTTATATGAATAATGAATACTGCCATATGTGTAATGAATGCTACGCAATGGGTCCACAATTGGTAGCGAACTGTCTGATTCTGTTATAAGAATACTGCCTTATGTGCAATGAACACTACGCAATGGGTCCTCCAATGGTAGTGTACTGTTTGATTCTGTTATATGAATACTGTGATATGTATAATAAACACTACACAATAGGTCCTCCATTGGTAGTGTATTGTTTGATTCTGTTATATGAATACTGTGATATGTATAATGAACGCTACACAATGGGTCCACCATTGGTAGTGAATATTCTGATGCTGTTTTATGAACACGGATATCTATGATATGAGCACTACGCAATGGGTCCTCCATTGGTAGTTGAGTACACTGTACCTCGACCCCTGTGATAGGAGTGAAGTCGAGAGGTGACTGTAAGTAATAGGGAGGGTCGCACCCCCCAAGTTGTCATAGGCATTACGCATTGGGTCCTCCAATGGTAGTGTAACGCCCTCTAGCCTACGGGCGTAAGGAGAGGATCGTGTCTTG